GTGCCACAATTTTAAAACATTCGCTTCAGTAGTTTGAAAATACTTCAAGAAAGTCATCGCAATAACTTGTACGTTGTACGTTGAAAATGCGGATAAATAGTCCGTTTATGATAGGACACCGTGGTTTAAAAGATAATTCTATAGGACTAGTTGTTGTTCATCTTAACTGTTTTGTCTGGGGTAATGTAAATAATACAACTCCAGTGGCTTCAAATATTATCGAACAACTCAGAGTACACACCATTGGCATTACAGTTTTCCACTACATTTATTTAAACACATAAAAATTGGTACAAGGAGGCACCAAATAGATATGCTCCACATAAATCATTCGATTTGTGTTAGAGCTGTGATACTGCACGGGTGCCCAGACCGAAACAGGTGGTTTTCTTGGTGGGCCACACTAGAGCCTTTGACCTAAAAGTATAATCCACAATGCAGTGGAGCAAGATCAGGAGATGCAGTCCCATGGTAGCTGGTAACTAACAATTGGTTCATACGCCATTTGTTCTCTCAGGATACTGGAGACTATGTACACCATTGGTTTGTAATCAGGGTTTTCCAACTCACCTAGGTGGATCCTCCATATCCACCAACCCGGTTAAAGCCCCAGTCATTCGCTTTTCGTCCTCTCTATTTCCTAAACGACACCCCGACTGAAAGAAGGCAGTAAGTAGAGTTTCCCTGAGAGTAGTTGTCTGCATGTGGCCATGTGAGAGCATTTCGAGAGAGAGAGAGAGAGCTGACTTTCCCCACTCTCGGCCGTACCACTACATAACCATAACTGAAAGAAATTCACATCATATGTATTTTCAAATGATACAAATGTTTTATTAAATCTGATTTTTTTGTTTATTTACTAATTGTGAGGCTTTTCTATCTGTTTTCTTTTTCACAATACATTCGCTTCATCTTGTATTTGCCCATTCTTTTGATGCCCTACTTAAATTAAGTTGTTTGTTGTAAATCTGTAATAATGTATGATAAAGCATGTAAACACTAAAACAGTATTATGTTAAAAAATATTTATAAAAAGTGGGAAGAATAGCTAAGCTGTCTAAAATTGTTTACATATAGCATTGAGTTACAAGTTCGTACCTCTTACTCCATACAATTCAATTCAGACATTTATATAGTGTTAAAAGGGGCCTTCATACAAAGTGTAACTTCGCATTATGAAGTTATTAACTTCTGGTTGAATACTTAGTTGGTAGAAAGATAAAGGCGACTAAGTCAAAAACATAACATCAGTTCATAAAGTTATTAACTGATGCATGTTAGTAAATTCAAATTACCCATTTGAAGTTCGTACAATCACGGTTTTTATCGGCTGTAGACTTTGGACGATATGGAACAGAGTTGTCCTCAGTGGCGTAGGGGCATTCATACATCATCTTCCCTTAGGTCTTAAGCTTATCAGCTACCCTAAGAAATTTTTTTGTTACCCCTCGAATCCATATTTTCTTGAAACATGTCATCCATACCTAATCTTTTTTGCTACCACTAATACTGTTGCTACTTGCACTGTCAATCATCTCGCTCTACTGGTATGGTGTAGCAAATTAAACCTATGGATACATGTCTCAGGTTCTACATTGAATACGATTGACTTAGTTATCGTCAAATGTCAGATCAAACTAAATGTTTGTGCTTGTACTTTTGTCAGTAATATTTGCTATCTTTTGGAGGAGTTTTATTTATCTAGAGACAACTGGTAAGATATCCTATCTTACCTAGGTTTTAGCAATACATTATATCTACATCCTTGATAATAGAAATTATAACTCCTCCGAAGATATGGCTTACACCACTCAACATCATGTTTATAAACTACCTTTTAACAATAGGTCAGACACTCTGGTCAGGTTGTAGCAACTAGTCAATATTATTCCCATCTGGTTGTCATAAGTACCTCCAGAACGCATGCGAATATGAAATCTTCAGTCTCGGGAATTACAGTGGTTATTCAAACCACTCATGTGCTTTAGGTCTCTGTAACTCCTTTCTAACTCAGGATCACCGTATTTGTAACCGTAAAGTATCCTAATTGTCACTTGATAACACTCTTGCCTAACACTTAATGACCTCTTATTTTGATTAAAAAAACGCGACACACTGTGTGAATTGTTGACTATGTGTTTCACCTTATTCATGTACTGATTTACACCTATTACCCCACGTGGAGGAGCACAGGACTCTCACCGACGTTCTCCATCCAACTCTGTCCTGGACAATCCTTTCCAGTCGCTGTCCATCCTTTTCATGTCTGCTTTCCATTCCTGACGCAGTGTGTTCTTTGGTCTTCCTCGTTTCCCCTTCCCTTCAAGATTCTAAGTTAGGTCTTGCCTCGTGATGCAGTTTCATGATTTTCTCAATGTGTGTCCTATCCTCTTCCAACATTTTTTCCTAATTTACTCTTCAACTGGAAGTTGGTTTGTTCTCCTCCACTGTAGGCTGTTGGTAATGGTATCCGGCCAATGGATGTTGAGTATCTTGCGTAGACAACTGTTTATAAATACTTGTACCTTCTTGATGGTGGTTGTAGTAGTTCTCCTAGTTTCAGCTCCGTACAGTAGGACTGTCTTGACGTTCATATTGAAGACTCTGACTTTGATATTGGTTAATAGTTGGTTTTAGTTCCATATGTTCTTCAATTGTAAGAATGCTAGTCTTGATTTACCAGTCCTCGCCTTTACGTCTGCATCGGATCCTCCTGGTTCAACCTTATTTATATAGGGTAATTAATTTGATATGTCCACACAAAACTAGTAGTAGTACTGTCATATTTATTGATTCAAGTTATGTCTGCTTAACAAACTACCGCAATTTATCGCTGTATATTTACCAATTAAAATTCATATTTATTACCAAGTCGCTCACCAAAACAGCTCTTATTTACCGATTTGAATAAAGCTAAGACTTTGGTTTAGTCTACAACAAACGTGTTTAACACTCGACTTACGCGATTAGTGTGGCAATAAAACGAATAGACGGTTGGGAAAACAATTATGGGATTACTTATATCCATTTGTTGGTGTGCTCAATATTTATGATCGATTAAACCGAATTATTCTTTCTTCAGTTCATTTTTTTCAACAGCCATGCTTGTGTTAGGTCAGCATAGTGACTTGACAGCTTACACCGACTGTTGAATGAATTTGATTTCGTAGTCAATGTATTAGTCAATTTGGTAGTGTAAGAGTGTGTTGGAACAAACCTATGAAATAAACAAATTAAGATATGGCATCAGTTCATCAATTGCTTGACTGTTGAACTAAGGTACGTAGGTGCAGATTACCTGGTTGGAGTCCGCACGATTATTATGACCAATAGTTGGAGACTGGGTGATGTACCTCAGAATCAGTCACAACGGAGTTCATGCACTCAATCTTTGTTTGTCTTTATACTCTGAATCTTAACATATACTTTTTATTCCGCAAATTTATTCGTTTTTCTCAAATCACATTGTCAAGGATTAATCTTCCCTGATATCTATGATACTGTTACTACTTATACTACTCTGGTATTTGTTTTGATCTCACTGTGCTGATCTACTGTAGCAACTTGAACTGATTCGTGTACATGCTAGGTTCTACGCTGCTTATCATTGACTGAATAATTGGATAACTTAATAGCAATACATAAATCAAACCTAATATAGTATATTTTTGGTTTAACGTTGTACTTTTTCGAGTTCTGAAGGATTTGAATTGACATTCGAATAGTCGCAATTCAATTTGTCAAACCAAATAACTACTGTTCTACATGTCTATTGTGTACGCTTCAAATAACTTTTACTTAACTAAAAATAGACCTATGTGGAATTGGAAACTTTAGTTTTTTCTTGTAGTAGCTTCATAGGTTTGGTATAAATTTTTTCTGTTGGCATATATTGTCAATGTCAGGTTAAATTTGTAGGATTTTGTTTAGCTTCATAGATCTACAAATATGCTTCTAAACTCTATAAATCTGTACATAGTTTTAGTAATGATGTCATTTCATGGTGAAAAAAAACGAACAATTGTCCCGCAATAAATATAATATTGGATGCCTACTCAGTGATCCTGATAGTGAAATATTTGCTTAGAGACCAACATGAAAGTCTTAGAATCGCTGATGAGGACTCCGAAGGTTTTCAAAGGTACTTCAACCGGGATCAGTCTGTCCTAAATGTAATCTATTAATTAAACCTATCTCCTTTAAACTCTTTCAACGAAATATAGTATAACTTTGATTTACAAATATACTTATTCAATAATTTAATAATTGAATTAATGAGTGAGTTGAAGATAGACCACTTTGGAAAACCTGGAAGCACTGAACAGTTGTTTCTTCCTAGTATGGGACTCCTCAGCAGTGCGCATCCACGACCCCGCCTCGTGAGATTCGAACCCAGGACCTATCAATCTCACGCGCTAGTACTTAACCACTAGACCACTGAGCTGGCCGGCATCCAACGGTGTTCATGTCCAACTTCAACCAATCCATGAATTCAACTATTAAAATACTATAATATCCACAAAAACCCTTCTTTGATTATATTCAATAGTTGTCAGGGATTTTAAAGTTCGGTTAAAAGAGGACTTTTTACTGTTTATCACACAGTGTTCAATCGTCTACATGTTCGTCAAAAATATACGACTCCCAATCGAACCAATATTCGATACACCCACTACTGATTTTCTTCAAATCATGTTAAATAAATTAAACTACCTATATTATCTTAAGTAGTATATTAAGTGTGTCCTAAAAACTTTCATATAAATTAGATGTAGAACTTTGTTCTTGAAATTTAATTGGTTTATCTTATTCGTGTTATCCCTAAAATGCAAAACGATAGGCTATCTTTGATCCAAGTGTGTATATGTTTGTCTACCCATCTACTATTATATAGTAGAATTGTGTTCCAGACAATGGAAATCTATTTTCATATGGAACAATGTTGGTTAAGCTAATGTCTATCTACTTGACTTCCACCGCCCCCTCCTCTTCTTTTCATACGGATATAAATGCCGTTGTATATAAATAAATGTAGATTTTCTGTCAAAAAGAAAAGACACTACCGACAGGAATTGTGTATTATTATTTAACTTGATAGATTCCTTAATAATTAATTTGTTGTTATGTAAACCAATTATCAAATTATGTTCAATTCAGATTTATATCCAACAATAACACCTATAAATGATACATCTAGATTACAAACCAAATTTACTGTAGAACCTATAAATGTACTTCCATATGATATTACTCCTAATTCATCAGTATTTACTAAGAAATGGCGTATTTTTTTTGCACGACGTTTAAGTCATAATATCAACACTACAAAATCATTAGTCAATACGGATTATCCATTATCAGCTATGAATCGATTTAATAATAATAATAATAATGATTCTATTGAAAAGAATAAGTCAAAACATTTCATAGAAATGAAATCACAACAAATCGATCGTAAACATCAACCAGAACACCAACAACAACAACAACAACAAACACATCGTTATTCAATATTGTCCTCTGATTCATTATATATAATGAATAGACCAACTATTCAATCACCATCAACTCCATCATCTTATCCTGAATCAAATGATTTCTCGAATCATTTTATTCTATTATATTGTGAACGTATTTTAATATTTTTTAGTTATTTATTTTTATTTATTACATTACCATTTTCATTAATATTTTGTTTCTATGTTATAAGACATTATGAAAGAGCGGTAATATTTCGTTTAGGTCGTTTATTATTAAATGATTCAATTGGTCCAGGTTTATTATGTATTATACCTTGTTTAGATGTTGTACAACGTGTTGATTTACGTACATTTACATTTGATGTATTCACACAAGATGTATTAACTAAAGATTCTGTAACTGTTACTGTTCAAGCTGTTGTATATTATCGTATATTTAATCCAATTTTATCTATTGTTAATGTTAAAAATGCTTATTATTCTACACGTTTATTAGCTCAAACAACATTACGTAATGTATTAGGTACAATAGATATGTGTGCATTATTAACAGAACGTGAACATATAGCTGAATTAATGCAAGAAACATTAGATTCATCAACTGATATATGGGGTATGAAAGTTGAACGTGTTGAAATTAAAGATGTACATTTACCATTACAATTACAACGTTCTATGGCAGCTGAAGCTGAAGCAACACGTGAAGCAAAAGCTAAAATTATTTTAGCATTAGGTGAAAAAGAAGCATCAACTTTATTAAAATCAGCTGCATTAGAAATAAATAATTGTCCTATTGCATTACAATTACGTTATTTACATACATTAAATTGTATAACTAATGGTAAACAATCAACTATTATATTTCCTATACCAATTGAATTCATTCCATTAGTAAAAAATTAATTATCTGATTATCCTTACTTATTTTAAACATCATTATAATAGATTTGTATAATCAGTGATTATTACAATCGCAATCATTATATTGTATTATGAATTGAACCAATGGGATTCTGTGTGTGTGTGTGTGTGTGTGTGTGTGTGTGTGTGTGTGTGTGTAGGTGTACATCTATCAACTTGATTTGTGTTGAAGACTCTAAGATTGTTTATGTTGAAAATTAATAAATTAAATAATGAAATATTTCGTTTTGTTTTTTTATGCTGTCAAGATGTTTTGTTCAATGATTCGAACCCTGTTTCATTTGGTTTGATTTAGGAAACTAGATTATATTATTGTAGTTTATACAATTGGAATACGTGAATCTATTTTACGTTTAGAGTTAGAAGTTGTATATGCTTAACCTATGTAATTATATTAGTATTTATCGTCTATTCTGTTTTAAGAGTTTTGTATATATGCAGTGAGTCATTCGCTCCTAAATACCCTGGTACGGCCGAGAGTGAAGAAAGTAATCTCTCCTTCGAAAAAATACTCTCGCATGCCTTCTGGCGGCATTACTGTTGTTTACGAAACTGATAAGACAAAAAGCGAATATCCGGTGCTTGAACCGGGTTGGTGAATACGGAGGATCCACCTAGGGGAGCTGGAAAACCATGATTCCAAACCAATGGTATACATGGTCTCCAGTATCCTTATAGAACGGGCTACCGACTATCATGGGACTGCATCTCCTGACGTTGCTCCACTGCATTGTGGATTAGACTTTTAGGTCGAAGGCTTCAGGTGTGGCCCCTTAAGAACACCATCTGTTTCGGTTTAGGCACTAGGGTCGTGTTCCAGCTCTCACACAAATCGAATGATTTATGTGGTGCATATCTATTTTTTACCTCATTGTACCAATGTTTATATGTTTAAATAAAATAATAATATGTGAGTCAATCAATCGGAGAGTGAGTTACAAGCTCATTTCCTCCTGTCATCCATAACATTTCATTATGTTTATTTTGTGTTTGAATTATGTATGTGAATATGTTATTCTTTTGTATAGAAAGCCCATTCATCTGGCTAGCAGCGGTCTTATTTTTAATTTCTAATGATTCAATGAAATTAAATCAATAATACAGTCTCATGAGTAGCTATCATTTAGCTACATCCTTTTATGGTTGTACATCATTTATCAATTATCATTCTACCGATTAATTTCATCTTATCAATTTACCAACTTACACCGACTTTTCTTTTTAGTTCACATGTCATTAATCAATAGCGACATTCTATGTTATAAGTACATTTATTGTATATGTCATGAGACTGTAATCATTTGAGTATATTTTGAAGATTTCATTCAATTAGATCTTGATAAATTTGAATAGGAATAAGAATAATATCATGTATAGAATATAAAATGAATTCATTCTATTTTATGGTTTCTTATCAACTGTAAACTACTCAAAATTATAGAGAGTAGTATAATTATGAACAAAAGTTTAAGATATTGTTTAGATGAACATTCGAAATAGAACCAAAAAAAACCTATGAAACATAAAATGTATCTATAAATTTATATTTACCTGCGTTAAAAATTATATTGGAAGGACACAGAAAAACTCGGCCAGTAGCTCTTCTAGAGTTACTACCGGTTCCAAGCCCGCGTAAAGGAGTAGTGTGTGGCATGAGGTCGGCAACCCTATGCCATAGAAACAAAATCTTGCTAATAAAGCGCCAACCAGACACAGAGAATTTCGTACTAGGTTTCTTGAACAGATTTTTAGGAACCTGTTTCATAGTTCGTAAATTCTTCGTTAGTGCAACTGTCAGGCATCCTTTAGCTAGTGGACATAAAGTGAATAGAAGTAATCTATTTGAAATAATTGATAGTCAACGTAAAATATCACTCCGTTTTAAATGAGGCATTCACCAAAGGTTTCCTGACTGACTTATGGATACAGGATGAGAGTCTGCTTAGTCTTTCCCTATCATAATAACTGAATGTTAATCAGATAATCCTCTTTATTTTTCAACCCCACATTTTCACCATCTATTTTGTATCTTTTACATAATCATATTGATGTTCACATGTTAATTTGACTACACTTACGTAATCCTCATGTATCTTCATTATGACAATTAATAACTACAGATTTATTTGTTTTATTCTACGTCATTGCTTCCTAACATTATAATACGCATCAATCCTAACTAGTTTTAATGGTATATTTTGTCATGTTCTCATTATGTGATATTCGGTCCCGTTTCGAGTATCCATCCATTTCAACATCACCATCCAAACCTTTCTTTAAATTATGTTGATAACTGTGATTTCAGGCTGTTTAGAGCTGATGAGAAACCGTGAAATAGGATGGATTCATTTTATTCTCAAAACCTTGTCCTTACATTGTTTACAGTTTAATGACTTCTTAATCTATCTTTAAGTTTAACAAATAGATTCTAATAGATTTATATAGGTTTAACATATCACTGCTATAGAGGTACTCATACATTAAAATTAGATTAAATATCCATCGATCAAGGACTAGACATACGAGACATCAGCCGTTTTTCAGTAATCCATCATTATCAATATTTCTGTACTACAGGAAGTCAGTCGTACCTCGTATAGTTGATTGTTGTCTATGAAGCTGAGTGATACCGGCGTTCGTATCACACAAGGAGTATAACGTTCCATAAGATTACAGGAATGCCTTACATTGACACAAATACCTATGGTTGACAAGTATTGAATTAGACTTAGAATACATATTGTGAATTTTATAGCAAGTTATGATTAAAGTACATTTAAAAAAGTGTTATGCTATTATCTACGTTACTAAATAATTCAATATTTTGTAAGCAGACTTTATCTGTCCATGTATAAACATGTATTATAGGCGATCGTTATTATGATAAGAATTCCATTCATTTCTTCACTCTAATCTAATGTTTATATTGGAATTTTATGTACACAAGTTTTTTTGTGGGTAGAATGGAGGTAGGAAAATTCTGTTTTGTGAATTGATTAACCCATAAAACTATATCAGTCCAACTTATTACAATAGTATTATCGTATTATCATAGTTTTATCTAGATAGTATTTCATGTAGTTTTCCTCTGGTTTGAGTTGATGCACATATTTCCCAAGTCCTATAGAAAACTGTAACTGACTGGTTGCATACTCCATGTCAATCAGTCAGCTACAACATAGGATCAGGCACATATGTGCATCGGTTCAAGTTGCCATACCTCATTAGCACAACAAGATGAACACACCGTACTCCATGTAAAAAAAACCAACATAATATCTAGCTCTTTTTATTCACATGAATTACAACTCGATAACTTATCGGTATCATATTGATCGCGAAATTTGAAGTACATAATTCGATCGAATAGGGAATCTCATGTTTGAACACACCTGAAAAACTCTCTAAAATAAGATGATGAAGTTGAGCTGTTTTTATAGGCAATATTTTTTGCAATCCTCTCTTTCCATTGTGAAAAGTTGGCATCTCTGTAGATCCTGGTTGTTTGATGGAAATACAACGTAGTATAGTTGATTGTACGATTACTCCCTCATACCTTATGTTTGTTGCTTTTAGTTTTAGTGTTGTCCCAACTAACCTGCCTAGAGTGTTAGTGTGGTATATACTATTTTGGTTGACAGATATAATTAGTATGTAACAGTAATCGGAAGTGGAATATCTGCTAGCAAAAGATTGAGAAAATTAAATTGAAGAGATCAGGAAATGAAACAGAGAGCAATTACAGTAACAACAGAACTGAAAAAATCATGAAACATGTAAAGTAAAACTGAAGGAAGATGTGCAAATGGTTTATTCAATGTGTGGTTTTTATATTTTACGAAGGCATCGTGTAACTTTGAGTTAAACAATAAACTGGTTTACCACACCCGAATTCTCGTTCACTACAGTAATACTTAAAGAAACACGTATTCTGGCCAATATTTCACGCTTATGCCATCACAACAGGCAAGTCTGACCACTTCGTCAAGTTAATAGCTACGTTTGAGTATTCGGTAATGTTTGACTTTCGTTGGTTCATTAATTTATATATCACGTAATTATTTAAAGGATTTTCTGTAAGGATTGTTTTTCCGGTCTATTGATATTAGTATGGAGATTCACTTTTCAATTCATTGACTGAAGCCTATCTGTGACTGCATAGATTTGTACCTTGATGGATGGTGTTAGTTGGTGTTCGAATAATTTGAAGGATAAAGGCAACCAAACTAAGAGATAGCATCAATTTAATGAGGTCATTAATTGTTGTTCTGAACTATGTTGATTGGTGCAGACTACCTAGTTGGTGTTTATGCGATAACAGCAATTAGTAGCTAAAGACTTTGGGCGGAACGACTCACAGTCGTTCACAATGACTAATTTACATCCTCTTGATTTTGAATTCTAGTATTCTTTCACTCATATATTTTCTTTCTGTCTCAGTTTTGCTCTTTGTCATTGTTATTATGTTATTTCAAAATCATTTCATTCATTTTCATTTGATGTTATTGGTGTATATTTAGAGTTAATTCACTACTATGTCATATTCTACATTGATAATGACTTAACTTTAATGATGATGTTTTGAAGTTGCTAGTATTTTCTTACTTCACTTGTTTGTCACTTATTCATCTATTTGAACATATAAATATTGGTACAAAGGGGCACCGAATTCATATGCGTCACACAAGTCACTTGGTTTGTGTGTGGGCTATCATACTTTTCGGGTGCCCAGACCAAAGCAGGTGGTTTTCTTATAGGGTCACATCCAGAGACTTCGACCTAAAGGTCTGATGCACAAGGCAGTGAAGCAACGTAAGGAGATGCAATCCCATGGTAGCCACTGACCAATAATCGATTCATACGCCATTTATTCCCTCAGGATCCTAGACCCATCCCATGTGCACCATTGGTTTGGAATCAGAGTTTTCCGACTCCTCTAGGTGAATCCTCCATATCCACCAATCCGGACATTCGCTTTTCGACCTCTCAATTTCGTAGACAACAGTAATGCCGCGAGAAGTCAGTGAGTAGGAATTCTCTAGTAGTGGCTGTATATGCATGACCATGTGAGAGCATTTTGGGAGATAGAGAGAGCAAGCTCTCCCCACCCTCGACCGTACTATGGCATTCGGGAGTAA